TAGGGCTGAGGTATGAAATAGGGGTGTAGCTGCCTAGCCTGAGGCAGCAGTGAACATGCCAAGTAGCAGATTTTTAGGCATCTGGGTGATTTCAACCTCAGAAATTTAGCTGTGATGGGGCTTTAGACACCTACAGAGCTAGGCAGCCACTGAGTGGTGATTTGTGGATTGGCAGCATCTAAATATCAGATTCAGGTACCTAAAGTGAAAGTAGTGGCCAGGCACCTAAATCTTTTTCTGGATCTAGCCCCTGGTGCCTAGCTTGCTTTGAACACGCCACTGGGCCCTTATCTGCATTGTCAGGTGCCTGATACCTTTAAATACCCAGCCCTACGTCATTTTGCAAAAGATGCTTTTGAAAATCTTACCCAAAATCTAACTACTGCCAATAGCCCCATTGATTGGAAAGGGTCTGAGTTAGAATTAGGTGGGTGGTAAAGATGAGAGAGCGGGGGTCCTGGGCTGAAACCCAGCTCTGAGATCAGAATCACTTAAGAATTGTGAGTATACTACCTGCAACTGAGCCTATGACAAGGCAGAGGTCAGGTTGTATGGGTGACCTCACTGTGCATTTTTGTACCAGACCACATCTGCATTGCTTTTACATTTAACCTCCACTCTGAATCTGGTCGGTATTTGATGCAAAATAAAAGGACAGCAGGAGTGTGAAAAACTAAATTCTACTTTATTATCCCAAAGGACGAACAAAGAGAGACTGCTTTCCTCATCCCCAGCCCAACACATTGCTGCATCCAAATCCCGCATGCACCAGTAACATTTACAAACTGGTAGAAAAGGGCAGAGAATCCAGGAGAGATGTTGGGACCCAGGCACAAACTACGATTTTAGGTCCAATTTAGCAGTGTTAGATCGATTTAACCCTGCACCCGTCCACATAACGAAGCCCTTTTTGTCGACTTAATGGGCTTTTAAAATCGATTTCTGTACTCCTCCCTGACAAGGGGATTAGCGCAGAAATCGACATCACCGGGTCGAATTTGGGGTAGTGTGGACGCAATTTGACGCTATTGGCCTCCGGGAGCTATCCCAGAGTGCTCCATTGTGACCACTCTGGACAGCACTCTCAACTCAGATGCACTGGTCAGGTACACAGGAAAAGCTCCATGAACTTTTGAATTTCATTTCCTGTTTGGCCACCATGGCAAACTAATCAGCACAGGTGACTGTGCAGATCTCATCAGCAGAGGTGACCATGGAGTCCCAGAATCGCTAAAGAGCTCCAGCATGGACCGAACGGGAGGTACTAGATCTGATCGCTGTATGGGGAAATGAATCTGTGCTATCAGAACTCCATTCCAAAAGACGAAATGCCAAAATATTTGAAAAAATCTCCAAGGGCATGAAGGACAGAGGCTATAACGGATCCGCAGCAGTGCCACATGAAACTTAAGGAGCACCGGCAAGCCTACCAAAAAACCAAAGAGGCAAACGCCTGCTCGGGGTCACAGCCCCAGACATGCCGCTTCTATGATGAGCTGCATGCAATTCTAGGGGGTGCACCTACAACTACCCCACACCTGTACGTGGACTCCTGCGAGGCGGGAGTGTCACACAACAGGGATGAGGATTTTGAGGACGAGGAAGATGATGAGGAGGGGGAGGTTGAAGATAGCGCACACCAAGCAAGGGAGAAACCGTTCTCGCCGACAGCCAAGAACTGTTTATCACCCTGGAGCCAATACCCTCCCAACCTGGGCTCCTGGATTTTGAAGGCGGAGAAGGCACCTCTGGTGAGTGTACCTTTGTAAATATAATACATGGTTTAAAAACAAGCGTGTTTAATGATTAATTTGCCCTGAAGACTTGGGATGCATTCACGGCCAGTACAGCTACTGGAAAAGTCTGTTAACATATCTGGGGATGGGGTGGAAATCCTCCAGGGACATCTCAATGAAGCTGTCCTGGAGGTACTCCCAAAGCCTTTGCAAAAGGTTTCTGGGGAGGGCAGCCTTTTTGCATCCTCCATGGTAGGACACTCTACCACGCCAGGCCAGTAGCACATAGTCTGGAATCATTGCATGGTAGCGTATGGTCCCGGTGTTTGCTGGCATTCAAGCAACATCTGTTCTTTATCTCTCTGTGTTATCCTCAGGAGAGTGATATCATTCATGGTCACTTGATTGAAACAGGGGAATTTTATTAAGGGGATATTCAGAGGTGGCCATTTCTGCTGGGCTGAAAACATCAGCCCCTCCTTTTAAATGGCCAATGTGTCTTTTTCAATTTTAATCTCCCTTTCTTTCCTCCCGCAGCTGCAAATGTTTCAACACTGCCACTCGCATCTCCATCCCAGAGGCTAGCACAGATAAGAAGGCAAAAAATGTCAGACAATGTCAGAGCCCAGGAAAGCACAAAATGAATGCGAGGACAGGAGGGACGTGTGAGAGGATAGATGGCTGGAGCAACAGGAGAGGTGGCGGCAGCGTGATGAGAGAAGGCAGGATGCAATGCTGAAGCTACTAGAGGATCAAACTGATATGCTCCGGCATATGGTTGAGCCGCAGGAAAGGCACAGACCGCCACTGCAGCCCCTGTGTAATCAACCGCCCTCCTTCCCAAGTTCCATAGCCTCCTCACCCAGATGCCCAAGAACGCGGCGTGGGGGCGGCTCCGGGCACCCAACCACTCCACCCCAGAGGATTGCCCAAGCAACAGAAGGCTGGCATTCAATAAGTTTTGAAGTGCAGTGTGGCCTTGTCCTTCCCTCCTCCCCCACCCCGCCCGGGCTACCTGGGCAGTTATCCCCCTATTTGTGTGACGAACTAATAAAGAATGCACAAATTTAAAACAACGACTTTATTGCCTCTGCAAGCGGTGATCAAAGGGGGGAGGGGAGGGCGGTTGGTTTACAGGGAAGTAGAGTGAACCAAGGGGGTGGGTTTTCGTCAAAGATAAACAAACAAGAACTGTCACACCGTAGTCTGGTCAGCCACAAAACTGGTTTTCAAAGCTTCTCTGATGCGCAGCATGCTCTGCTGTGCTCTTGTAATCACCCTGGTGTCTGGCTGCATGTAATCAGTGGCCAGATGATTTGCCTCAACTTCCCACCCCGCCATAAACGTCTCCCCCTTACTCTCAAAGATGTTGTGGAGCACAGAGCAAGAAGTAATAACGATGGGAATATTGGTTTAGCTGAGGTCTAACTGAGTCCGTAAACTGCGCCAGCGCACTTTTAAACGTCCAAATGCACACTCTACCACCATTCAGCACTTGCTCAGCCTATAGTTGAACAGCTCCTGACTACTGTCCAGGGTGCTGTGTATGGCTTCATGAGCCATGGAATTAAGGGGTAGGCTGGGTCCCAAGGATAACTATAGGCATTTCAACATCCCCAACTGTTATTTTCTGGTCTGGAAAGTCAGTCCCTTGCTGCAGCTGTTCTTCAGGAACTCTGGTCTGTATGATGTGAGCGTCATGTACCTTTCTCGGCCATTGCACGTTGATGTTGGTGAAACATCCCTTGTGATCCTTGTGATACTTGCAGCACCATTGAAAAGTACCCCTTTCGGTTTATGTACTGGCTGCCTTGGTGGTCCGGTCCCAAGATGGGGATATGCGTTCCGTCTATCGCCCCACCACAGTTAGGGAATCCCATTGCAGCAAAGCAATCCACTATGACCTGCACATTTCCCAGAGTCACTACCCTTGATAGCAGCAGCTCAGCGATTGCGTTGGCTACTTGGATCACAGCAGCCCCCACAGTAGATTTGCCCACTCCAAATTGATTCCCGACTGACCGGTAGCTGTCTGGCGTTGCAAGCTTCCAGAGGGCTATCGCCATTCGCTTGTGAAGTGTGAGGGCTGCTCTCATCTTGGTATTCTTGCACTTCAGGGCAGGGGAAAGCAAGCCACAAAGTTCCATGAAAGTGCTCTTATGCATGTGAAAGTTTCGCAGCCACTGGGAATCATCCCAGACCTGCAACACTATGTGGTCCCACCAGTCTGTGCTTGTTTCCCAGGCCCAGAATCGGCGTTCCATGGCATGAGCCTGCCCCATTGCCACCAGGATAGCCAAATTGCTGGGGCCCATGCTTTGAGAGAAGTCTGTGTCCATGTCCTCATCACTCTTGTCACCGTGCTGCCATCGCCTCCTTGCCTGCTTTTGCAGGTTCTGGTTCTGCATATACTGCATGATAATGCACGAGGTGTTTACAATGCTCATAACTGCTGCGGTGATCTAAACAGGCTCCATGCTTGCCATGGTATGTCGTCTGCAGGAGAGCAGAGTTGCAGGGCAAGCGGTGATTGGATGACCAGTTTTGCAGACCTACTGCACCATCTGCTGCCAGGACACAACACCTGAGTGGGCTGTACGCTTGCCGTGGTATGGCAAGACAAGAGGAGCCGAGCAGAGTTGCAGCGGAAGCGGTGGATGACGACGGTCATATAGAGGACCTGCGAGACCACCAGGAGAGAAGGAGAGCAGAGTGGCAGCAGAAGCGGTTGTTTGATGACGACGGTTTGCAGCCCTACTGCACCGTCTGCTGAAAACAGCATGGCGCCTGCATGCAAAAAGGCGCAAAATGATTGTCTGCCGTTGCTTTCACAGAGGGAGGGGTGACTGACAACATGTACCCAAAACCACCCGCGACAATGTTTTTGCCCCATCAGGCATTGGGAGCTCAACCCAGAATTCCAATGGGCGGTGGAGACTGCAGAAACTGCGGGATAGCTACCCACAGTGCAATGCTCCGAAAGTCGACGCTAGGCTCGGTACTGTGGACGCACTCCGCCGACTTAATGAGCTTAGTGGGGACACACACAATCGACTGTATAAAATCGCTTTCTAAAAAATGGACTTCTATAAATTTGACCTAATTTCGTAGTGTAGACATACCTTCCGAGAGCAGGGAATCCAAGCAGCTGAGATTAGCAGAGTGTAGGATGAGGTGAGTGAGGCAGACAGAGTCTTTGTCATCCCCACACAGGACACTCTGGTAGATGGGGAGGGGTGACCAGCTGGGCTGTCAGTCTCCTTAGCCCACTCTGGCCTCAAGGATGGGGGTCAGCCTGGCTCCAAGATTGGCCCAGGTGGCCTGTTGTCTTCTCCAGCTTCCTTCTTGTCTCTGCCCAGTCTCGTCCTCTCAGCATTCGGGAGATGCTGCCACCTCCCCTCTTCATTCCTGTGGGGGCATCATTTGTAGTCTTTTAGATTTCAGGGATGGCTTCACCCAACACTCATAGGACAATTCCTGTGTCTCTCTGGCATTGATGCAGCAAGTACACACTTCTCGGCCTCCACTGTCTGGCTCTCAAGAGGAAAGTCTGTTGTTTCCCAGCTCTGTTCCCTGTACCACCCATCCTCTACCCCTTCTCACTGCATCTAACATCTCTGCAGGGATCAGGCAGTAACTCCATGCCCCATTCAGTCTCTGCCTCTCTGAGTGCGAGTCTAGCACTCACCATCAGTGTTCGTGCTGAGACATATTGATAAGGTTCATTGTTCATAGAATCATAGAATATCAGGGTTGGAAGGGAGCTCAGGAGGTCATCTAGTCCAACCCCCTGCTCAAAGCAGGACCAATTCCCATTTTCCCCCCCCAGATCCGTAAATGGCCCCCTCAAGGATTGAACTCACAACCCTGGGTTTAGCAGGCCAATGCTCAAACCACTAAGCTATCCCTCCCCCAAACACACAATTGTTCAAACACACAAACATCTCATGACAAAGGGTAAAGAAAGGTTAAAATAAATAAAAAAGACTTCTGGCAAACAAGCATTTATCTCGTAAAATCCTCAAAAAAAGCTATGCTAAATCCTGTCAAACTAAACTAATATCAAAGCATGTGACCAAATGGCCTCCCTAACATTTGATTTCCCTGGCACTGAGTACCCTACGCTCCCCACATCCACCGGACCCAACCATTCAATCACCCACTGTCTTCCCCAACCCATCCCTCCTGGTCCCTTCCAGAACCCAGCACCTTAGGGGATTTAGGGAGAGGAAGAGTTGCCAGCATTCAGGGACATTCACCCTGCAGGGACTAGCTCCAGGTAAGTGGGGGAGCCCAGCCCACAGGCTACTGGAAAATGGGGGGTGGGGACAGGTGTCTAGAGTGAATGTGGAGCCTCCCTCTCCTAGTCTCCATGGAAGGGGCATCCTGACTGGGAAGGGAAAGGAAAGAAGAGAACTTCATCCAAGCAGAGGGAGCTTCTGGAGGAATTTCTCTCTCCCGTTCCTCAGCAGTTACCAGGAGGCAGGAAGGCCCATCAGTTCAGCAGCCAGGGCTACAGCAGGGAGGAGGGGCTGATCAGAACTGCTCCTCCTCTGCCAGAGGTTTGCTTAGACCAGGCAAAGCCAGAGGGTCACTGATCAGATTGGGGTTAGCTGCTGCTGGAACCTGCCCCCAGACATGGGCAGCTGGATACCTGGGAGCCAAATGCCACTGCTGTGTGTGGGAATTAGGAAATGGAGTTTTTACTAAGACCGGCCCTAGTCAGGGCACTGAGAGAATTTCTCTCCTGTGTGGAGGAGTCTCTGATGTTCAATGTGGTGTTAGCTCCAACTGAAGCATTTTTCATGCTAAGGACATCTGAGAGGGCTCCTCCTTGTTTGGTTTTGCTGATGCTTGATGCTGTGTGCGCACCAAAAGAAGGTACCCCCACATTCAAGCTCTTTCTTCTGTGAATTATCTGATGGGGAATAATGTGTGAGCTTAGACTGAATCTTTCCCTCCAGTTATTGAAGCTTTTCCCACAATCCAAGTATTTATGGGCTCTCTCTCTTGTGTGGATCGTCTAATGTGAAGCAAGGTTTGATATTCAAATGAAACTTTTTCCACAGTTGAGACATTTATAGATTCTGTCCCATGTGAATTCTCTGATGTTTAGGAAGATATGGCCTGGGTTTGAAGCTTTTCCCACCATTCAAGTATTTATGGGGTTTCTCTTTTATGTGGATTGTCTAATAAGGTGTGAGTTCTGTTGGAAGCTTTTCCTACAGTGGAGGCATTTTCACAGTTTTCCCCCCTTGTGGGTTCTCCCATGCTTAATAAGGCCTGTGCGCTGACTGAAGCTTTTCCCACACTCCAAGCATTTATAGGGTTTCTCCCCAGTGTGGATTCTCCCATGTCTAATAAGGATTGAGCGCCGACTGAAGCTTTTCCCACAGTCCAAACATTTATAGGGTCTCTCTCCTGTGTGGATCCTCTGATGTACAATAAGGGCTGATGATCCATTGTAACTTTTCCCACAGTCCAAGCATTTATAGGGTCTCTCTCCCGTGTGCAGTCTCCGATGGGTAGTAAGATTTGAGCTCCTATTGAAGCTTTTCCCACAGTCCAAGCATTTAAAGGGTTTCTCTCCTGTGTGGGTTCTCTGATGTACAATAAGGGTTGATGATTCAGTGAAACTTTTCCCACACTGAAGGCATTTATAGGGTCTCTCTCCCGTGTGGGTTCTCTGATGTGTAATAAGGGCTGATGTTACAATGAAACTTTTCCCACACTGAAGGCATTTATATGGTCTCTCTCCCATGTGGATTCTCCTGTGGTTAATAAGTCCTGAGTGCTGACTGAAGTTTTTCCCACAGTCCAAGCATTTAAAGGGTTTATCTTCCATGTGGATTCTCTGATGTGTAATAAGGGCTGAGGGTACACTGAAACTTTTCCCACACTCAAGGCACTTATATGGTCCCTCTCCCGTGTGGATTGTCCCATGGCTATTAAGGGCTGAGTGCCGACTGAAACTTTTCCCACAGTCCAAGCATTTATAGGGTTTCTCTCCCGTGTGGGTTCGCTGATGTACAATAAGGGCTGATGGTGCACTGAAACTTTTCCCACACTGAAGGCATTTGTATGGCCTCTCTCCTGTGTGGATTCTCCTGTGACAAATAAGACCTGAGCGCTGACTGAAGCTTTTCCCACAGTCCAAGCATGTATACAGTTTCTTTTCCCTCTGATTTGTCTGCTGGGCTGCAGATTCCTTGGGATCCTTGCCTCCTCTCCCACATTCAATGGATTCCTCCACTTTCTTCCTTGGGCATTTTCCTAGCTTCCTCTCTGACCTGTGCCAATTACTCCAGGCTTTTCTCTGTTCCAAGCACTGGGAGAACTCCCCTCCAGCTTTTCTTAAAAAGGTCCCCTGGAGTTCCACTTGCTCAAGTCCTTCCTGCTGTGGATCCCCCTCCTCGTTATCACTCATTGTCTCGTCACCTGCTGGGGAAGAGAGTCCAGGGAGGAGTCATTGTCTGGACTGGCAGAAAGGGGAACAACAAAGAAGGAAAACACAACACAATAACTGCTGGGGAGACTGAGAAATTGGATTCTGCCTCAACATCCCACCCAAACACGCACAGGGAAGTGAAGTCAGGGAGAAAACTCCTGACAGCTAACAGGGTGGGTGGGAAGCCATGAGCGATATCGGCCATGATGATACGACACCTGCTGACCACAGCCTGATCTGGGTGGGATGAGGCAGAACTGAGGGGGCCACACCACATTTTGGGGATTTTCAGCTTTTTCCTCCATTTGCCATATAGTTTCTGTGTTAGTGTCACTGAATCCTCACCTGTGTGGGTGCCTCTTGGGATCTTCCTTTCCTCAAAGACCTGAAGATCCGGGACCCATGGCTCTTCCCCTGCTTCCAGCTGGGCAATCAGGTCAGGTTTGGGAATGGGGAGTCCTGCTCGGGGGCAAAATCAGGCATGTGAGTGCACTGAGGATCGGTGGAGTAGTTGTCACAGAGGGCACATATTGAGTTTAAACTGACCCCATGATTTGCTGGGGGGTTGTGGGGTCTGAACAGACGGGCACATGGTCACTGAGCCCCCTTGGGAGAGGCCGATGTCTGAGGGAGGGGGAGTTGTCATACCCTCTCTAGGAGTGTTCAGGATCTCTGTGCTCTGGGGGACTTGCTGAGGCACACACAGATCTAGTGTTAAACCCCTGCCTCTGTGTAAACCTCCAGAGCCCTCCCCACAGATGGAGCTGTGATGGGATCCCAGCCTGGGACCGTGGGACCGCTGTGCCCTGCTGAACTCTCTCCAGCCTGGGATATCTCTTACAATGCCTTGCTAGTGACCAGCAGCAACCCCTCCATGCACTATTATCACTCAGCACAACCACATGTAGAGCCCCCACACACAGCTAGATTGCATGAATAATCCCAGAGCCACTCATGAATCACACAAGGAAAGGCACCAGACCCAAATCCCTGCAGTTCCCAGCACTGTACCTCAGGAATATACCATCTAATTTATTAATTGGTTCACCACTTTATCAATGGAAAGTGGATATACAACAGCCTTTGATATCTGAGCAATTTACCATTCACTTCAGGCAAACTCACTGGTAAAGTTAAACAGTTAAACAAGTTTATTGATGATGAAAGATAGATTTTAAGTGGTATTAAGTGATAGGCAAAAAATCAGAGTTAGTTACCAAAAAAATAAAATATAAGCACGCAGTCTAAACTCTCGACCCTATTAGACTGGGCAACATCTAGATTAAGCAGTTTTTTTCACCCCACTGGATATTGCAGTCACCTTTGAAATCTGGGCCAGTCCCCTCAGTTGGAGTCTCAAGTCTTCAGTGTCCTTGTTGCTTTCAGTGTAGGTGGGTGAAGAAGAAAGGTCCAGCATGTGGCCACTGTGTTCTGTTTTGTATCCTCAGTCCCATGTGCTCGGGAAGCACAAATCCAGTCATGTCTGGGGGCTTTGCTGAGTCTCCAGGGCCAGGCTGAGCAATTCCCCTGGTGTGGCCTCATACCGGTGAGTCACTGAATTGTAACTCCCTTGCTGGAGAATGGCTGGTGATTTCTGCGCAATAGCACCCACCCGGCTGTTGGTTACCTCCCTTTTCATTGTCTCCGTAGAGCCAGTATCTGGGCACCTCCCAAGTCCACAGCATATTTTAGTGACAACCATATAAAACAATCTCATAACTTCATATGCACTAAAGATACACATATTTAGATAGAACAGTGACCTTAAGCCGATCAGAACCTTTTCCCTAATACCTCACATGGCATGCTTTATATGCAATATCACAATTACATACAGAAGAGGAATATGGGGGCTATAGGGGGCTCCCCCAAGGTATAGAGTGTCACAGGAGCCAGTCCCAGGAAGGAAGGTGCACAGAGATCCTGCATGTGAGTAAGAATTAATGCACATAGGATAATAAATGGCTTCTGCCCCTGGGAAAGCTGGAGGGATGCGGATGAATTAGCAGGTCCATTAGGTTCATCCCATTGGAGAGGGTATGGAGGTAAATGGCTCTCTCAGACTGGAGCTTTGGACAATGCCATTCCGCTCTAATCTAACTGACCAGGGAAGAACCTGACCAGATGCAGAAACACAGACCCCGTGGCTTCAAATACCTGAGGGGACAGGAATCCTTACCCAGCGAGGTCACAGTCTCATAATTCTCCTGCATGACGTCCCTGTAGAGGGCTCTCTGACCGGGGTCCAGCAGAGCCCCCTGCCCCTCCGTGAAGTACACAGCCACCTCCTCGAAGGTCACCGGCATCTGAAAAAACAGGTGCTCCCCACTCAGTACCTGCTGTCCGAGCCACAATCCCACTATTCATGGGGGAAGAAGCACCAAAATACAACAGCTCTGGGAGGCCTGGAGGAGCAGAATTCTAGCCCAACCCACTCAGAGTGGCCATGAGTCTCCAGGGAACACAGAGAAGGTGAAAGCTCCTTGTCCCTCCCAGCAGAGGATGGAAGGCAGGGTCTTTTCATTGACCACACACCTACTAGGCACAAGCTGACATGGGAAGCAGAGCTCTGTGCAGGGGACAGGGACAGGAATCCCAGCACCTTCCCTTTGCATTTCACTTCAGTCTTGGGCCAGTGGGTTCAGGATCCAGCACCCTGGTCTGTTTTCCCAGCACTGTCCAGGGATTGTTTCCCGTTTCAGAAATGGTGGAATTTTGCACCCCACCCCCACTGCGCCTGTTCATAAATCAGGCCCTAGGCTGAGCATGTCCCAGCAGGTTTATCACAACCTGTCCCCCTCCCTGCCTCATCCTGTGTATTCCCGCCCTGCCCCCTCTCCAACAATCCTCCCGAGCAGCTCCCTACAAAATCCCCCACCTGAGCTGGATCCACCACAGCCATTTCCCTGCCCCGTCCCCTAGGAAGATGGGATGATCTGGAGCAAAACGTGGTCATCATTCTGCAGCCTTTCAGGGTGAGAAGGGCAACTGGGGAGGTTTCTGAATTAGTGTTAGTCCATTTCACAACCGATTCTCCCCAGGCTCTTTCCCTGCAGACACACACTCTAGATTCTGCCATGCTGGAAAAACCCTGAGTTACGTTATTACAGCACAGACCTGACCGCTCCCACCGGGACTAAACCTATGAGACACTATTAAACCCTCCCAGGAACAGAGTCTCTGAGTCAAACCCTAGAAAAAAGCAGAATAAAATGAGCCCCTTTGAAGGATCCCCCCCGATATTGTCCCCAGGCCAGTATTTTGTACTGGAACTGGAACAAAAAGTGAACCATCATTTTGTTTTACTGACTGAACCTGAACTGAACAAAAAAAGAGAGGAAGGGTGGACTATTACCAGTTAAAATAGATATCCAGCATTTTTAAAGCTCAATATTAAAAAAACTACAGTGATCTTATTTTCATTTCAAGAGCAGAAAACAAATTAGCCCATGGGCGGATGATGGCTCCCAGAATGGCCTGGCCCAGGACAGTGAGAAGAGAATGAGAAGAGAAGGGGGCCAGCCCACAAGCGCGGGGAGCGAGAGGGGATGCTTGGGAGCTGCCTGCACACCATAGGAGGCAGAAGGGGGGCCCAGAGGTACAGGAACCATCTCTGAGATGCCCCCCATGGGGAGAGAAGGGGTGGGATGCTCCTTGGGCCCTGAAGTTCATAATAACTCTTCAAGCCCAAGGGCCAAGGTCATGGCTCCCCAACCTTCTCCCCTTAGACAGGCCTCCTCCCACGATCCCCAGCCCCTGGGGCAACTCCTCCCTCCAGTTGCTCCTCTTGAGGCAGGGTTCATGCTCCAAATTCCCTTCCCCACTGAAGCCACCTGCAGGGCTCATTCCCAAGCCCCCCAGGACACTGTCTGATACACACCTCCAATCCCCCACCCCTACCCCTGATAGTTATGTTTCTCTCATACGTATGTCTTGATTCTAGATATCAACCCCCACTGTCAGCAGAGGACAGAGTCAAGGTAAAATTTCATTATACCATAACATGGATGAAGATGGAAATGTTTGAGTCAGAAGCCAGAAATAATGACGTCACAGAATGAATGTCAGTCACATCTGAAATTGAAAGTTGAATTAGAATGTCTTCTGAAAGCTTTTGAAATCTCTAAAACGGAAGCGATATCTGGACGAAGGAAAGCCCAAAAAAGGAATGGGCCAATTCCTGATTCATTCACAGATGGGCCACATCTCTATAAGAAAGAAACATACCAAACTACTGGGAACATCCAAAAAATGTCACGCCTAAGCTGAATCAACTAGCAAAAATTGTACTGGCAGTTCCACCAACACAAGTGAGTGTTGAAAGAAAATTTCCAGGCCTCAAATATATCCTTTCACTGCAGAGGTCCAATATGGCAAAGCAAAAATGTTACTTCATGCTCAAACAAATTGTGCATGAAAAAAAATCTTGTTAATTTCACAACACAAAAGCACTTGGAAAACTCAAGTAATGGTAAAGTAAAAAACAAATAAACAGCAAATAATCAAAACATTTTAAGTTGCAGCTCTCTTTTTTGAATTTACCTCCACTAAGATTTGAAATAGGATTTAAACTGGTATCTGAACTTTTATTTTTGTTTCCTTGGGTGGCTAGAACCAGAAATGAAACTGAACAAATTGAATGGAACAGAACCTGAACCAAACCAAAATAAATACCAGTTGGACTGGTTGCCTGCTGTTGCTAGCAGTAACTCTGGTTTAACACAGAATCTGCACAGGATTCAGAGCAGGGCCCTGTTCAGTCCTGTCAACCCCAAACATTTAACATGCTGAAGTCAGACCCACAAATAATGAGACTGTCTTAAAAAAACAAAGACTAAATTTGGAGCAAGATGTGTGGGAGGTGGATATTTGCCTTGTAAATGCTGAGCCCTTGGGGGGAAGTCCCCTGCCTACCCCAATACTTGTTTGACCATTTCTAGGGGAAAAGATTCCACCCTGGCTGCTGGAAAAGGGCAGCCCCCTCCCCTACCCCATGGGCTGGGGGAGCTGCCGTTGTATCTCTCACCATCCCGCTCCCTTCTCCTACTCTCTGGCTCTCCCTTCCCCAGCCGGTCTCTGCTTGCTCTCATATTCTCCTTCCAGCCTCCCCACAGCCCCTTCTCCTCACATCCCCCCTTTCCTTCCCTTTATCCCCACACTCCAATTTCCCTCTATTCCAGCTCTGTTCCCCTGAGCCCCAGAATCCTCTCCCTGATTCCTGGGTATTCCCTCAGCCCCCCTTCAGCAGCCCCACATCCCCATCCCGCCCCCTGCATCCCCGTTTACCTCCCTTCTGCCCCCTCACACGTCTCTGTTCACCATCACCCCTCAATGCCCTCTGGCTCTCAGAGCCCCCTGCCCGCTGCCCCCCCTCTCTGTCCCAGCTCTCCCCACGGCGCGCGCTGGCTTCACCCGCCCTGCAAAACACCGGGAGCTGGCGGCAGCTTCCCTGGGCCCAGCGCAGGGAATCGCAGCCAGCCCCGCTGGGAGCAGCCTGGGGCCAAACCCTCCCCCTGCAGCCAGGATGGCACCGGGGGGCACCGCTCCTTGTGGGGATGGGCAGGTCTCTCTTACCTTCCCTCCAAGCGGTGCCCTCCCCGGGAGCAGGGGCTGGGGCCTGGGAAGGGGGGTCCTGGCCAGGCTGGGGTCTCTGCACCGGGGGGAGGCTCCTGGGGAGCAGCGGGAATGTTACTGCTGGAGATTCCCCTCTCCCGGCTGCAGCCAGGGCTCCGGGGTCCCCAGCAGCAGCCGCCGGGGCTCGGGGATCTTGCAAGGAGCGTGGGCTCCCCACAGCGCCGCAGAGTCACTGCAGCGAGAGCGATTCACTTCCTGCTGCGGGCCTGAGTGACCCCAGCGATCGCTCCCAGATCCGCATCCCAGCTGCTCCTGGGTCCTAGTGTTCAAGGGATTACACTGAAGCCCCCTGCCCCAGACCCTGCCTCCTGGGGGGCCCACATCCCCTGGGCATGGGCAGCTTCTCTCAGCATTAAGGGGACATCGTGCATAGAAGCCACCTTGTCAATGAGCAGAAAGGAGACGTGCAGATCCCGGGGAGGGGGGATAAGGAGCAAAGACTGGGAATTGTTCCAGAGAGTCCCCAATATTGTCATACAAGGGGGTGATGGGTCCCAGTCCTAGAGAGGCTGCCAAGAGCTTGGAGTAGCTGGAGACAGGTTTCTCGGGGACACCCTATCGTAGACAAAAGGATGTAGTTTCTCTCCTGAGAGTTACTTCCACAGGACTTTGAAAGACCATGATAATGTATTTACATCTTGCTTAAACAGACCTCTCAGGCTAACCATGGGTGGTGGAAGGACCCCATCAATTGCACCAGAGGGGGCAGGAATGAAACAATTTGCATTTTAGCAGACACAGCTCCTGTGAGGGAGAAAGCAGCAGGACACAGCCTTCAAGATAGACCCCCCTGTCACCTGCCTCACAGCTGGAAATAGACTTTTCTCTGGAGGTCACTATCAGAAGAATCCATTGCAAAGGTTCACTAGACTCTGAAAGAGACCGATCCAGGGCTGTGTTTGAACTGAACTGTTTGGAGACTCCCAGGAACCTAACAAACTGTTGCACATTGACTCCTAAAGGGAGAACAAACAGTAACATTCTTCTGACTGATCCAGGACAGGGCTAGACATTCCAGAGCCCCCCTTCCTGGGAAACTTCCGGCCCTGGCAGGGTGTGAAGTGACCTCACCCATTGTTGAGTGAGGCTGGTGGAGGCCAGTGGAAGTCCAGGATATTGCAGCCAGGCACCAGGATCCAAAGCGATGGGCCAGGGCTGCCCAATACACAGAGTGCCTGCTTGGGGCTGACTGTGGGCATCCCTTCTGGGTCTGTGGAGAGAGGAGGCTGTGCAATCCCAGCTCTGCTCCAGCCATAGGAACTTTGATACCTCTGGGCAGATTGCTTGTAGCATGATTGAGAAAGGGCATGAAAGGGACATGCAGAAGTGCTATGCTAAGGTCAAGGAGCTGAGGCAGCCATACCAGAGGGCAAGGGAGGCCAACCATTGGTCTGGTGTGGTGCCAAAGACATGCCCGCCTGCACATCATCTTTGGCAGTGACCCCCCCTCCATCCCCAAGAGTGATACAATAGATGAAAAATTTAAAATGGCTACCCAGGAGAGGAAACGGGTCGGAGCATATTATAGAGGGGCGGGAGCATATGATAAAGCTGATGGAGGACCAAACGGAGATGCTGAAATACCTGATTGTGCTGTAGTTAGAACACATGCATGCTTGACCCACCCTGCAGCCCATACAGAATTGTGTTCCATGCCCACCCCAAATTCCACACACACATTCCGTGCAAGTTCCCAGCCTGTAGCAGTACCTCTTGCACTCTACCCCTAGGGACAAGTTTCAGAATGAAAGCTGGACTTACACACAGCTATGAGAGCCTGAATTCAGAGCGAGTGCTCCACAGTGTCATGGCCCTAGCAGGAGGTGGAAATCTGTGTATTTCTCTTTAATAAAGATGTCTTAGAAATAAAGTGTATCTTTATTTATGTCCTACACATGGTGGTTTCTGCTGGAATTAATACACCCTGGCAATCGGCACATTTCCAGACTACAGTTAATGCTGAGCAATCATTACACGGGTCATTCAATGCGCCAAGTAAACAATGTCTGGATGAATACATTACAGAAACATTACTGGTGGTCATTGTCAAAATGCTGCTTTAGAGCCTCTCTGATACAAAAAGCCTCCTCCGCTCCGCCCCCGTTGAGGCCCTCTAATGGCCCTGCTATTTCACTGTCATGCACCTTCCCTGACCATCCCGTGTTGATGGCCATGTAATGACCCCAATGATCCACCAGCTCCTGCAGTACCCTTTCTGTTCATGTAATCCATTGCAATATGGTCTGGGGTCAAAATTGGGATATGCATGCCATCTATCACCCTGCTGCAGTTAGGGAATCCCATTTCTGCAAAGTCATCCAGCATTTCCCACACATTGCCTAGAGTCACAGTCCTTTGTAGCAGGAGGTGATTAATGGCTCTGCACATTTGCGTCACCGTAACCCCCAAGGGGGACTGCCCAAATCCAAACTGATTAGTGACTGATCGGTAGCAGTCCGGAGTTGCCAGTTTTCACATAGTGATTGCTACTCGCTTTTCCACAGTAAGAACAGTTCTTGTTCTGGTGTCCTGGCACCACAGGGCAGGGGCAAGCTCCGCACACAGTTCCAGGAAGGTGGCTTTGCACATCTGAAAGTTCTGCAGCCACCACTCATCATCCCATAACTGCAAAATGATGCAATCCCACCACTCTGTGCTTGTTTCCTAAGCCTAGTTGCAATGGTCCACCATGCACAGCTGCTCTATGAATGCCAACATCAATCAGGAATTGTTTCTTTCCATGGCACACAGCAGAGCAGTCACTATGGATTCCTCTTCAGATTTGCAGCTCATGAAATACTGCAGGATCAGCCACGTTGTGTTCATAACGCTCAAGACAAAACTGGGGCTCTGTCTTGTCACCTCGCAGTCGGGTGGCAGCCACTTCAGCCCCTCCTCGGGGTTCTCTGTCTCTTCCAACAGCAGGGTGCTGCTCCAGGATCCTGTAAAAGGCTCAGCTCCCTAGAATAGATTTCTTCTCCCCCAGCACCAACTGAGCTCCAGGGCTTTCCTATTATATTTCCTGTTTTGCCCTAGTACTTCTTGTGAGGTGGTAGGACAGAATTCAGCTCTGCCCCACAGGGAGAGTATAGTGGTTCCTTCACTCCAGTTCAGAGGGAGCCCACTCTGCCTCACTACAAGGACCATCTATCACAAAAGCAGGCTTGTTTAGGTGGCAACATAGACCGGAGTACCCAAGGGGAATGTCTGTGACTCCATGTTCAGGCTGTGATAGTGTCTGAGGAGTTCACACTTGATACTTGGTAGGGAAATATAAATATAGAAAACACACCCAGCTTGGGGTTTGTGCCCTGGTTTGTAACTGTTTGCCCTGAGGCTGTTACTCACATTTGTGAGCTTCTCCAGACATAGGGAATTGAACCTGGGTCTCCCCCATCACAGGTAAGTGCTCTAAACATGGGGCTAAAAGTTATAAGGTGGGTGACATCACCAACCTCCCCCTCCCCTCCCCCCCCCACATTTTGTGTGCAGCGAGGCAGGTGCCTAGCTCATTCCTGCAAGAAACGTTTTAGGTGTCTGAGCCACCTGACGTCATTCAGTGCGTTCCCATGTGTGGATTACTAAACAGAGAAGACACCCCACTGCAGCCCAGATTTAGGTACCTAGCTGTAGAGAGGAGCAGGGATTAGGACACCCCTCTCCCCTGTCACCCTCTCCCATTGGCTAGCTTAGATGGCTCCCAACGTAGTGAGCTGGCTTTTGTGAATCACATTGTAAAGTGCCTATGTTGCCCACGTGTTGTATAGGGAGTTTTGGCACCTCACTCAGCTTTGCAGGTCATAGGGCTGTTCCTGTGATTTTCTAGCTACCTAAAAATTAGATCCTGTTATGCTCACCATTGCAATGCCTAAGTCCCTTCATGGATTGCACCCTGCGTAACCAGTCACCTCTCCGCAGAACGCAGCTGAGCAATTCCTGATTGACATGGGTATGTACAGGACAAGAGCCACAGCTGGATAGTGACACATCACAGTAAAACCCAAACTCTCCTCCTAGAGGCACGATGTTCCCTGTAGGTATGGGAGGACACAACCAAGTCAGGAAGCAAATCCCAGGACCCTGCCCCCAACAATGGCAGAGGGGACATTAAAGTGGAACAAAGAAGAAGAATTGTTTGTAATGTTTTATTTACAGAATGTAACAAAGTTGGGAAGTAAAAGGAGCTAAGAATGAGTTTTAATAACCACAGTGTAGGGACAGGAGAGCCACAGCAACTGAGAAGAGTTTTCTTAATGGCACTGTATGTGCTGTTTATATTTACAAATAAAAAATGGGATGGGAGTCCTCCATGGTCATAGAGGCTGGGAAAACTGCAGCTAGAGAAGCCTATTTTTCTTTTCATTCTCACGGGGCTATTCCCCCCCTCTCAGTGAGGCCGACTAAGGTAGGATCCCCCAAGTCCTCCTGACCCATATTGGACGGTGATAAACAGGTGCACAAACCTTGGGGTAATGAGATCTATCAAGACAGAGAAGCCACTCGCTGCTCTCTATGGTTTGACAGTCCAGAGAGACACCATGGAGCCTACAGGGTCATAGAGATGGCACGGTAAAAGCAGGAGTCTTTCAGAGTCACAGAGACTAGGGAGACTGAGGCTAGAGAGGCTGATTTCAGGGTCCCCAGGCGGATTTCCCCCCCTCCCCCATGTCTCAGGGACACACTCAGAGCTGGGATCCCCGCCCCACCCGGAGCCAGGGGCGGATTCTCTCCTAAGTGACAGAGGCCAGCAGGAAAGTGAAGATCGGGGCCTCGTTACCAGCATCAAAAAATGTCACCTGCCCCTGATCACAGTCCAGACAAACCCGGATCCTGCTGGGGACCCGGCTCAGGGGCAGGCGGATATCAGGGGAGGTGAGAGTCTGGAACTGACCCTGCCACTTCCACACAGCCCAGACGCTACTGTTGGGGACACTGGGGCATGGCCACTAGGTAACTCGAGGGGATGGAAGACCACGAGTGTCGATGAAGCCCCCTTGCACTAGGCCCAGGTGTCCTTGGCCCCCCGCCTGGAGGCACACACAGCAGTTATGCTGAGGATCTGCAACAATATGCTGCAGAGTCAGACTGCCTAAAACTAAGCAAGGCCAAACAGGACAGATATGGAAAAACAATGCTGAATAAAGCAGCTTTATATATAGTTTAACAAATAATCCAAAAAACCAGAGAACTAGCTGGGAACTGGATTGGCTGGCTATATGGATACTTGGGGCA